TCAAAGAGTTCTAGATCTGACAAGGAGTGGAGCACAGTGGGAACCGCATGGGGTCAGACAGACCTGAGTTCAAATTCCATCTCTACTATCTATTAACTGTGTAACCTGGGGCCAATCACTAGCCTTTAGTGGTTGTTTCCCAGACTCAATGGGATGATATAAGGAAAGCCCCAGGAACATAAGAGCGCTCCATCAATGGTAGTTGCTGCTGTGGTTTTTGTTATCATTACTACAGTGGTAATGACTACTGCCAGGAGGCATTAGGAATAAAAAATAAATACAATTACAAAAAACCCCCACAGTTTTATTAGTCAAATAATTCCTACTTTTATTACTTAGCATTTAATTTGCAGCTATTTATATTGCAATTAGCTTGGCAATCATATTTCTCATCCCTGACAACAGGGTGGGGAAGGGTGACATTATTACGCCTGTTTTCTAGATGAGGAAAGGACAACGGTTCCATCTATTCTGTCTCCAGTTTCTATGACTCCATGAGGAAAGACACCTGCAATCACGTTCATTAGTTCCCTATGAAAAATAATATTCAGCCCAGATGGCAAATGCAGGAAAGGAGAATTAGCAAGCACTTGATAGCAACCCCAAAATAACATCTAAATAATCACTTCTGAACATTAAAATCGTGGCAAACAAGTTCCCATTTATGTAAAGGTGTCAGAGGATTAAGGAGAAATGAACAAACACATTTTTCTTTATTCTTACTCATTTAGGAAATGTCTGACAGAGCTTAGAAATAATATTTGAAATGCAGACAGAATAATGATTAATTTCCTCTACAAGGGGTTTTCCATTAGCAGATAGGAATACACCAACATGCCCTGATATTTTAGTTTGAATCAGAGCTACAAAGTAGAAGAGATCATCTTAGCATGTGGAGACCCAATTCGTTGGTTCTCAAGATCCACAAGAAGCCCATGGAGTGTGGGCAAGGGTCCCACGACTTCAAATGCACACCAAACTCACCTCTAGCACTGAAGAACGGCTTGCCTGTAAACGTCATCTTGGTCATAGGTACAAAGTTTCTATGAGTGAAATACAAATGCCTCTAGACATACTGCTGAATGCATAGTCACCATATATAACCACTACTACATGGGGAGGGGGGTCCTCAGTTTTTTGTTGTTAAAAAGGAATCTCCATCAAAAAGGCTGGGAAACACTGGTCTAGTGCAGCCCCCTTGTTGCACTGAATAATCATCGGCCATCTCGGAGACGGCTGTGACCCTAGTCTAGGATTTCTAATTCCCAAAAGGTCTTTGTCCCACATTATACGTGCCATCCAGAGAGAAGTTAGCAGTCATGGCTGTGTCCTGTTTCTATTAACCCTTCTCTTTCTAAAAGAGGAGAGTATAGTCCTACCCTCTCTCCCTGGATATGTTCCAGAATTTTCTATACATCCCAAACCTTTCCTTTCTCTTTCCTTCTCTTTCTTTCCATTAACTCCCCAGCTTATACCTTTGGGTTGGCAGCACTCAACCGCTTCAAGCTCTGAGGCTCAGCAAGGGGCCTTGGACATGTATCTCAATGCGAAGGTACTAAATAAGGAATGTGTGAAGTACGTAGAAAATGCACGTATGCATGGATGTATTTTACAGCCCAAACCACAGCACTTCTCTGTATCTACCGAAAATAAGAAAATTGGGATATTCATGAATCTGTCAGCACTAACGGACTATCAAACCCATAGCATAACAACTTCTTAAAGTGCTTTCACATTGATTATTTCGGTTTATTGTCTTAATTGTTTACTGGGATGTAAGTGCTACTGGAGTACAGTTGGAACTTAAGTGCATTGCTGGTTCGATTCCCAGTCAGGGCACATATCTGGGGTGCAGTCCAGGTCCCCAGTAGGGGGTGCATGAGAGGCAACCACACACTGATGTTTCTCTCCCTCTCCTTCTCCCTCCCTTCCTCTCTAAAAATAAATAAATAAAACCTTTATTTTAAAAAATGTAGTTTCTGACGAGTGAGCAATTCAATTAAAAAAGAAAAAAGAACTTAAATGCCATAACAAGGAGAAATGTTATCTATTTTATTCACAGCTCTTCCCCCCCCCCAATATCTAAAACAGTACCTGGCACATAGTAGGCATTCAACTAACATTTGTTGGTTGAGTGAATGACAGAAATAAACAGGAATGACAAGTTTATTTATTCATTATTTAGCCTACACATAGTTTTATTTTTATTTGAGAAGAAAGAATGGTCTCCAAGGGAGGAACTGAGCCTTTAATAACCTTTTCAGCCTTCCATGCTCCTGTAACATTGGACTTAACATCTTTCCCTCAAATATTTTTAATGTAATTCTTCAAAATTATACGAGTAATACGCTCATTTTAGGTAAATCCAATACTACCAATATATTAAAAGAAAAAAACAGAAGTCCCCTCTGATCCTGTCACCAAGGACGACACAGTTAGCATGTCACACCAGCCTTTCGGTCTGTAACCTGCGCACATGTGCGCATGCACACACATTCGACATGTTCCCAATACCCTCTGCCCTATGATCCATGGAGTTTTTCCTTTGTTCCCTGAGCCCTTTTTGTTTGTCTCCTAGGATAGCTCCTTACCCTCTTCCTATGTCCTTAAATGCATGCCTTCCCCAAAATTTAGATCCTTAGTTCAAAAGGATTTTTCTCCTTTTCCTTCTAGGAGATTCATCTATTCTTACTCAACTTACATCTGCAGCTTCAGTCTTTCCTCTCTTGTGGGATGCCAACATCCTACATGTCTGAAACTAAAAGCACCCTGTTCCAACAAAACCAGATCACTCTCTCATCTACTCCACTTCTGTCAACTGTAACAAAATTCTACAGGCTATCCTCAATGGAGTCATCTTTGGCTCCCCAGCCCCACTCAAAGTGACTTTTGTCCTTCCTTCCTGTTATTTCTCTCATCCTTCTCTTCCCATTGCTACTATGATCGTTTAAGACCTTTATACATTATTTTCTGCCTGGGTCTCCTGCTTTTGGTATAACTGAACGCCCATCAAGGTTACCCACTGTTGCCAGTTAACTTCCTAAAATACCACTTGCATCTTACCTATTCTATATTCATAAATTTGAGATGGCTTGGCACTCTTACGGAATGCTATTCCAGCTCCTTCACAATCTCACCTCAGACTACTTTTCCATCCTTAGTTCTCATTATTCTTAAAAATAAGCCCCTTGCTCCAGCCAGCCTGGTGTTCTCAGTACACACCCAGCTCCAAAACATTTAATTGTGAATTAGGTATTTATTAAGCATCTATTATGTGTAAAATCCATGCATTCATTCAACAAATATTTACGGAGCCTCTATTTCATCAGGTAAGGTACTGATGCTGGGAATGCAAAGGTGAAACAAGGCACACCAAGTCCCTGTCCCCATGGGACTGAGAGGGGAATGAGGAGATTCTGAGACAGAGGCGTCCCAGCTCAGGGTACTTCCAATCTCCCATTAAAATGTCATGAGTCAAGAAATCCCTGAGGACTGAACTTTGTGGCCCAGGCTGCAAGTGGGGGAGGATTCAGTAGGAAGGAAGGGCTGGGTGAGGAGAGCTGGAGTGTGGGAATCAACCCGGCATTAGAGGATGGTCTTGCAGAGAAGGGGTGCCCTCCACCCAGGGATATGAGAAAAGGCACAAAGGTGGGACAGAAACAGCCACAGCAACAGCGTGGGCTAATTCTGTCCACAGGCGCATTCAACATTATTGAGAACACACGCTCCGCCCCTGCGGGGGCCCCAGGAGCTATGCGGATGTGGGGATGACTCATACTTGGTTCCTACCATAGAGGGATGTTCACCGAGCAAGGAGGACAAGGCAGGTCCGTGATGATTTATCGCACCCCCGAAAGTGAGACATTCCATTCCGAGGTTCTGAGAAAAACATCAGGGAAGTTCACAAGGAGGTGCATGTCTGGGTCCTCATTACAGTATTCATGGAGTCAAATGTTTTTATACATGTATAGGCACCTATTGAAAATAACTATCTTGTTTCAAAGTGTTTTCTCGCTCCCTTTTTCCTTTTATCCTAAGTCAATTCGGCAAAGAAGGTAAGCCGTGTTTTCCAGAAGCGCAATGTGCGGGCGTAGGCGGTTTAAGTAATCAGCTTGGGTCAGAAACACAAAAGGCAGGAGAACGTGAACACCGCCTGCAACTCGACCCGTTTCTGCAGTAGGAGGATCGAGCAGAGGGCGCGCACTGAAGTCCTGGAATTGTCTGTGACACCTGGCCAGTGCACTGCCGCCAAGCAGGCAGCTTGGGTTTAAAGGGGCAGGACGCAGGCAACCTCTGACGGTTCTGGAGAGGGAACAGGACCCCCGTGACAGTCTTTCCTTCCCCCTTCTCAAAGCTTGCCGGTAACACCCCCTGCTCTAAGCCTGTCTTAACTATAACCATCTCTTAAGGTTCACCGCAAACCTTTTCTGTTTTTTCCTTCCACTGATTTCAGCCCACCAACCTCCCGAGGGAGGGCGTGTCAGACGCCCAGCCAGAACTCTGCTCAGCTCAGGGCAGCTAGTTGAATATCGGCCTGATGAATAAATTCCCGGGACCTGCACAGCTTCGTGGACGTACCCTGAGTTCTTACATCCCTCCCCAGGCGCGCAGGCCGGCACGGGCCGCCCTCGCCATCCGGAGGAGCTCTGGGCCGCAAGGAACGAGGGGGTGGGCGGTGCAGGCCGGTGGCCAAGGAAACTAGCGCGCCACCCCAAGTTCATGTCCCCGGCTGGAAGCCGAGGCAAACCTTTCCACACTTCTACAAAAAGCGCTCCATGAGATCGTTAACTATTTCCCTATCTTGGAAACATCGAGGAAAGGTGGTGAAAAACCACGCCAGCATAGCACTAGCAGAAGAGGCAAGTCACTCAAGAAGAGGGAGGTCTGGGAAGCCACTCCCGGCTCCCGCTGCCGGGGTGCGGTGGGTTCCGAGACAGGAAGCCTCGCGAGAACTGGGGTCGGACTCTCGTTGTGTTGCCTAGCGACGGGAAGGACGCTCGCAGGCCCCCAGCCTAACCCCCGCAGTAGCCTTAAATCTCCTACCATGGGGGAAGAACGCAGCCGCAGCAGCAGTGAGACCACTAGGGAGCTGCAGAAGCTGAAGCAGCAGGCTCTGGAGTACTACCGGGAGAACGACGTTCCTCGCAGGCTGGAAGAGCTGCTCAACTCCACCTTCTACCTCCAGCCTGCCGACGTCTACGGGCACCTGGTAGGGACCTAGGACAGCACCCTCTTCCCACCAGACCCCGTCCCCCCGCCCAGCGCTGCGGCAACGTCGTGCGCCTGCGCCGCAGAGTCGCGCACGCGCGCCGCTGCCGCGGGGGGTTGGGTTCTTGGTGATGCGTTGGGATGATCCCGAAGTGAAGAAGCAGAGTGGCCTCCTGGGGGCAAGAAAGTTCGACTAAGTGGTGGACAGGAGGAGCTCAGGGACTGTGGGCTCGAGGCAGATTTGTAGCTACAGCAACGGCTTTGGCTGAACAAGCTTCCTCGCTACCTTTGGGCCAGCCTGTCCCGGCTGCCAGTTCTTTTAAACACAGACCATAACACCGCGTAGCTTAGTTTACCAATCTTCAGCAGCCTCCTCTTGACCAAGGGATGAACGCCTTGGCATTCGCTACACTGGCCTTCGGCTGACCCCGGGGACTCATACCCAGCCTGCTCCCATTGCTTCCAAGTTTCACTCAAATCTAGCCTGGATGCCTATCCCCACCTGACCATCTCTTACCTAAACTTGCAGTTCAGATCAAGTCCTGACCGCTGTGCCCTGGGCTAATCATCCTTCTGCGTTCCTAGTTCCTGTAGCATTTTCTGTACATGCATTGTGAGCTCCCATTGTGAGCTCGTATCACCTTCCTTGTTTCTGTGCCCAGTGCGACTTCTGGCACAAACCTTAGCCTTAAGCAATGAGCAGTTGAAACAAAGGCAAGCATTTTCTCACTTCCAGATCCATAGGTCAGAGCCAACACCTATCTTCTGGAAGGCAATGTGGTTGGGACTGATAGGAAATTGCACTATGGTGAGGCAACCTGACACCACCAAGCACAGTGTGTAATGCAGCAGAGAAGCCTGATGTGTTTACAAGGTTCAAAAGCACATCTCGTGGAGACCGTAGACCCAGAGGATGCTTCATGAATGTTTATTTTTTTCTGTCATAGCCTATACATCAACGCTGGGGATGGGATAGGGAGGTGTTTACTGAACTCCTTGGGCCATGTGCTGTATGTTATTTCACTTAATCCTTAGGATCCCTGTGAAGTAAAAATTATGATTCCCATTTTACAAATAAGAAACTGGCCCAGTGAACTTAAGTAATTTTCTCAAGGGGCACAGTGAACAACAGTGAGAAATCAAAACAGGTTCCTAGGACCCAGCAGAATGCAAGGTACGTGGGGACACTTCAGAACTATTTGTGGAAGGAAAGAGTGAATGCAAGTCCACTCTCTTTCCACTATTTTCTGATGGAAGCATTCTTGAAAGTTAACCAGTCTAACCTCATTTTACAAAGCCAACACTAGACCCTGATCTCATAGCTACTTAGAGCAAAAGCTAAGACTGGAAACTTAGACTCTGGTTCCCTTGTGCAATGCTCTTCTCAGTATATCAGGCAGCCAGGACTTGGATTTGTAAGGCCCTTTGAGAGTTTATATTTTGGTTAGAGACCAAAGCCACTGTTTATATATATATATTTTTTTCTTTTTTTAAGGGATCATAGATAAGGTGGTAGAGCCCGAGGGATAGATCTCCTATGTTTATTAAAGGATTCAGGGATGGAAAAGATCTCTGTAGGCTGTAGCATCTGGGAAGGTTTTGGCTTGGACTTTGAAGGGTGTTTAGGAATTTGAGTTGGCAAAAAGGCAACCTTTCTTTCATTCCTTATCACTGTCCAGTTTGGACCTGCCTTATTCTCACCTAACCTCTCCTCCTGTTGAGTCCATCCTGCACAGTGCTGCCAGAGCAGTGTTCTGAATCCCAAATCTGACCATCCTTCCTTTGCTTACATAAAAACCTCTTGTGACTCCCTATTGCATCCTGAGTGAGATCAAACACCTTCCCGTGCGGGATTCATAGTTGTTCCCCTCTGCTTCTGGGAACACCCCCACTCCCTCCACTGCTCCTCCATACAGGCCCACTTTTCCCTACAGCCTGAGGTCCCCGACCTCCCTCCCCTTTGCTTATCCTAGTCTCTCTACTGGAAGTATCTGCACTGGACTTCTCCCCATTGTCTACCTGTTGGAATACTGCACCTCCACCAGTGATCAGCTCCAGTGCCATTTCTTCTATTCTTCTCTGACATATTAGAGGATTCAGGTCCCGGGGTCAATAGGAATACTCTATTCCTTCATTATAAAACTCATAAGTGAACGAGTTTGGCACTGGGAATCGGTCAGATCTGGGTTTGATGTTTAGCCCTGCCACTCAGAGGCTGTAATAGGCTGTTATAGTGATGATCTCCAATGAACCATACCACCAGTGTGAATGGACTTATGTAAGTCCCTTCTACACTGGATTTCGAACGTGGCCTTGTGACTTGCTTTTATCAACAGCACATTAGCAAACATGATGCAGAGGCTTGGTTAAGTGTTGGCATATTGAAGCTTATAGTCTTGGAACACTCCTTAGAATCTAGTCATTATGCTGCTGCGTGTGAGGACACCCAGTTCCCCTGATGGAGGGAGAGAGGTGCTGTAGAGAGAGACCATGGCTGTTGTGGGGCCTCTAGGATAGCCTGCTGTTCCAACCATCCTGGCTGAGACACTGAGTGGAACCATCTTGGATCCTCTGGACCCTGCTGAGTCTCCAGATGACTGAATCTGTGAGACCCCAGTCAGAGAATTATTTGCTCAGTTGAACCCAGCCCAGATTGCAGAGTCATGAGCCTGTTTTGCTTATTAAAGGGGCCAACACCATCAGGTGATAGAGTGGATGAGGAGGGTGGGCCTTCTCTTCTTCTTCCTTCTCTCTAAGCTCCTGCGTAGGAACACTATCTTACATTTTTTTTGTTCAGGCTCCCAGAGTGGGCTTTCTACCTCAGCTTCATTCTCTTTCTTGGATCACTTCCAAATGGCTTCTGCTTTTCCATATCAGCGACACTGCTATTAGTAAGGTTCCCACAATCTTCTTTGAACACAGTTCTAGGGGCGAACTGATGGTCAATGCAGTACAGCCTCTGCATAACTCTTCGCCATCAAAACATCAGATGCCTTGCTGGGAGAAATAAAAATGGGCCCACTAAAGGTTTCTTAAGTTTGAATGCATCTGTGTTCTAGACACCAGTTGATTTAGATATTTTGCACAGAAGGGTAGGGTTAGGACCAGCGAAAGAGTGACACAGGGCCTTGAAATTAAGAACTACATGCGAGTTTCTGCTGAGAGTTTAAAAGACAAATCACCCCACCTACCAGACACTCAGCATCACACTACAACCAAATCTCAGTGAGTGAGGGCAGGTACGTCCCACCGAGCTGCTAGACCAATCCTGGCACAAGGAAGCCACTTGGGGAGAAGGTTAGTGGAAACGAGAATAAATGTGAATGACCTTTAAAGATACACTGGATTTGGTATTCTGATTTTCTTTTTTTTCTCTGTTGAAGGCAAACTGCTTTTCTAAACTTGCAAAGCCTCCAACCATATGCAAAGTGGTGGGGAAGAATGTGCTGGATGGCCTGGGGCTTCCCACCCTGCAAGTGGAGATATTCTGCACAGTTCAAAATTTTCCCAAGGTACGAGGCAGCTTAAAGACATTGTTCGCTCTGTCCTCAAATGAATGTTTTGAAATTCAGTGTTCGTGAAATTGACACACACGTACAATTTGTAAGTAGACATGAACATAAAGTGTGATGGCTTTATTATGTTTAAGTGTAATATGGTACAGACATGACGTGCTAACTTGAAGATAATCCAAGAAGGAAACAGGAAATGGGGCCAAAATAGTCTAAAAATCCTGACATTGTTAATGTGATGGGCTCCATAAATCTACACAGGTTTATAGATCGATATATTCATATCTATATTCACATAAATTTCAAGATACATAGACTGAATTACATAAAGAAAAATGCGTTTTTCATAATTTTAATAATTCATCTTAATTGCTACATATTTGTTGTTAGAAATAATTTTGCTAGTCTCTGGGAGGAAAATAATTGTGAGTGTGTATCCTTTTAGCTATTTGTTGGAGAAATAGTGATAAAAATGAACTTCAGTGTAAGGCTTTTCTAAGGGGATTCTAACAAGGTAATAATTTTAAATGTTCCTTGAAGCTGGGTTTCACAGTGTTTCAATAGCTATAAAAATACCTCAAGGAAAATTATATATTCTCGTTTTCCCTTTGCAATTGGTGATAAAATATCATGCACATTAAAAGCTGGATACATTTGGTTTCCCACTTTCTGCGAGAGGTAGAGAAAATGTAGAACAGATTCATGTGATTTTCAGAGTGTCTGTTCTGTGGTGATGGCGACTGACTTTGAGGTGCAGGAGAACGCTTTCCCCGAGCTGGTCGAGGGGGAGGAAGCAGAAAGGCTTGATGCGGTCAGCACGGCCATGCAGTGGGTCAACGAGACCCTCACCCAGGAGCTGCAGGGCCTAGCGCCCTCCAGCCAGGCCGAGGTGGACCAGGTGCTCAGGTAAGCCTTCCACTTTGAAATGCAAGTGTCCAGTATAAATCACTATCTGTTCTCTTTCCATTTCACCTGCCAATAAAACAGGTCTGGCATATCCTTGGATACAGTCAGTTAGTTGGATAAGAAGCATATGCTAAAGCAGCAAAATTTAGCATAAAATGTTGTTTTTCTCCTGAAAACCATTATCAAAATTTTGCTGTAGAAGGATTTTCAACCTCTTTTCATGCATACAGTTTCTTTAAATTCAGTAAAAAGTTTCTCAGAAATAGAATTAAGAATGGAGACGACGTCCCCTCCCTCTCCCCACCTCCTCATGGCCCCAGGTTGAGCATCCCGTGGCCTTTTATACAGTCACTGTGAATGCACGACGCTCGTCTTCTGTCCTCCAGAGACAACCAGGTCTCCCACGTCTTGCCTGTAGGTTGAGTCTAAATGTGAAAGCCAAGGACCTGTTTACCGGGGCTTTGTGGGTACCGTTCAGTGCCCAGCTAAGCAGAGGTTAGTGTTACTGTTCCTTTTGTGCAGTTCCAGGGCCACAACCCTCTTGGCCAAATGAAGGTCAACTGGATTCTCTTTCTCTAAGCTTCATCATTGGCTTCACTGTGCATAACATCACATTTTAGCTTGCTTCAGAGTTGGATCACGAACTTTGTAAAAACCTTTCTTGAATCATTTTGCCTTCCGAAAGCTATTGCACTTACTCCTTTTGTGTGTGTGTATCTTTTCTGCTATTATCATATCCTTAGTCCACCCCCCACCCAAGATCTCTGCCGTACTTTCTATTCTATACATTCCATTCTCTCTGGAGCTTCCCCTCCCCAACCCCGCTCTGGACAGGCTCTTCTCTAGGCCCAGTGCAGAGATGCCCTAACACATCCCTTCCTTGTTCTCCTGTTGCCTGCATCCCATATCTTCCTCTTTCTTAACTTGCTGGGTTACATCCTTTAAAAGTAAGGATAAGAAAGGAATGCAAGGTTTTTCAGTTCTTACATGTGTGTCAACACTTCGCTCCCATAGTCGACGGTTTAGCTGAGTATAGAATTCTCGTGTTAAATCAATTGCTCTCAGTACTTTAACATCGCTGCCCCACCGCTGTCTGGGTTATTACTAAGCCTAAAGCAAATCAGACTCCCATGTCTTTGTTGGCTTGTTTTTGTTGTTGTTGTTGTTGTTTTTGATTGTTTGGCCTATGGAGCCTTTTTTCCTCTTTTTATTCTGAGTGGCTGAAATTTTATATAGATGTACCCAAGTGAGACTTCCCAATTTTTTAACTATTCACTTGAAGCCCCACCCTCAAAAAAAAGAGAAATCTTTCACATAGTACTATGTATTTCATTGTCTAAAACAAGACCAAAATTACGAGTGGTATTCCTAAATATAATACTGTACAGCTATATTTTCTTGCCATTAAGGACATTCTTTGAAAATAAAGTTCAAGAAGATAAGGAGAGAAAAGAATTGGAAAAGGGCCCAGAAGACTCAGCAGAGCCCACACCCTCACCTTTGATACCAGCACCAGCATCTCCTCCTCCTCCTCCACCTCCAGCAAAAAAAAAAGGGCAAAAGCAAGGTTGGTGGCGCATCATCTTGTAAAACATTCAGTAACAAATGTGTGAGAAAAAAAAGGCTGAAGTTCAGACTGCTTTGTTGAGTCAAAATCTCTTTGCAGTAGACCGGGGTGGGGGGGGGACTCCCACCAGGTACCATCCATCATCCACACTACTTCCTTGCTTGAAGTTTCTGTGTTGGGTTGTCAGGGTTTTGCCTCATCCCACCCTCTGTTACTTTAAAGATTTTATTTATTTATTTTTGGAGAGAGAGGAAGGGAGGGAGAAAGAGAGGGAGAGAAACATCAATATAGGAAGGAAAGATCAATTGCCTCTTGCACGCCTCTAACCAGGGACCTGGCCCACAACCCAGGCATGCGCCCTGACCAGGAATTAAACTGGCCACCTTTTGGTTTGCAGGATGGTGCCCAACCCACAGAGCCCCACCAGTCAGGGCCCACCCTCCACTGTTTTTGTAAGAAAAAAATACTTCTTACTCAGAAGTGAGCACTTACTAAATAAACAAAGTGCACTCATGGTGGCAATGCCAGAGACAGGGAAGGGGGAAGGGGAGGGTGGCGTGGGGGACCTTTTACTGTCCCTCAAAATCTCCACCAGTTCATCAAGAAGCCACTCTGTATTTTAGAGGTAACCAGTATTTTCTTAGCCCTATGTAACATATTAATACAAAAATTATTTGGAACACTTCGCTATTTTAAAGCAAATAATCAAAGTTATCTATCATGGCCCTTTGCGCTATGCCTTCCAACAGACTGCTAACCTCAGTCCCTCCAGTGCCTTAATTCTGGAGCTGCTGCTAGTGTTGCAACAGTGCTCTGTATGTCTGTCCAACTAGAACACGTCCTTTGAGGGCATGAATCATGTCTTGTTCAATTTAGCACCGCCAGTGCCTATTGCGAGGCCAGGTGCCAACTAAATACCTACTCAATGTGGGTTCCATTGAGTAAGAAAGCACCAGAACCCAAAAGGGACCAGAGACCATGGAGACAGTCTCTTCCTTCAGAGATTTAGATACTGAGGCCTGGGATGGAGAGGAGAGTTGCCTAAAGCAGAAGAATTATGTTAGACCAGTCTGTCGGGAGGGTGAGGACAGCCGCTACTGAATTACATGTAGAGCCCACCAATGGATATTCAATGGGTATTGCTTTTGACTGATACAACTTGGAACACAAGAGAAGGGAGGAAGACATAGGGCACAATAATTTGCTAAACACCTACTATGTGCTAGGCGCATGTATCTTTTCCCACTTATCCCACTTACTTGACCCAGGCCATCAGCTGTGGGGAAGAGGAGGCCAAGAGGGGCACCAGTGATGGGGAATGGACCCTGCGGTACCTGAGCAGACTGGGTGGCTGCGAACTTAGGCGAGTGAAAGATGAGAAAGGATTCTGAGTGGATGGCTGGATGTGGAAGGCATTTCTAAAAGAAAAAAAGGGCATTGGTTGGCGTCTGGCAAGACGAGATAGTCAGATGTGTCTATGGAGAGAAATATGTTCGGCATCAAGTTGGGTATGCAAGAATGCTGGTGGAAGAGAGAAAAACAAAGGATTTGGAATCCAAAGACAGTCCAAATCCTCTCTTTATTCACTTTCTGATAGATATTGGGCCGCTCTTTTTAACGTCTGTAAGCCCTAGTTTAGCTACATATGGATGTGGGATAACAGTATCTACCCATGTGACTGAAGAAGTGAATGCTGAGTGTTCTAACATTTTCTTAGGAAAAACCCATGTCTATCTGAGGGTTATTTGAGCATTGGGAGTGGTAAATGAAATCAAACAGAAAACTTCTTGAAGGTCAAGGTGGAAAACATATTCTTCCCCACCTCAGTGTTCAACCTTTATGCTGGGCCTTTGTATCTGTAAGTAAAATATTTAAAAAATACAATTTTCTTAGAGTCAAACCTCCTAAAAGGAATCTGTTATCCACGTTTCCCCCTCCAGGTACGAAGAATTCTTTTATAGAGAAACCTGTTTTACCTCCAGAGCCTGCTGAACCTGTACTCTGTGGCAGCATGGCCATCGGGGCTGTGTCACTAGCGGTGGCCAAAACCAGTGCCACGCTGAGCAGCAACCCTCTGTACTTCAGTATCGCTTTACTGAAGCACCATCAGGTCAGCGCCCATTGTATTCCACCGCCAGGACCCATGAGTATCTCAGTATGAATGAACCATATTTCTCCTTTCCTCTCGCCTTTCGCCTCTTTCAGGAACCGCCAGCCAAGCTGACCATCCCTCTGCTGATGGTATCTCTGGTCAGCTGTGGGAAGTCATCGCCCGGGAAGCTGAACTTAATGAAAGAAGTGATTTGTATACCCCATTCTGGATTAACAGCTAAACAAGTACCTTGCGTTCTCTCCAACTGCTTTTTCTAAAAAATATTTCCTCCATTGTCCGTGAGTTTTTAGTGTGAGTCCCCAAGGCTCATGACACCAAGAAAGAGGGAATTAGATACAGAATGAGAAAACGTAGTTTAGGACATCGGGGAGACGGTAGGAAAGCAGGACCTCAAACAAAAGGAAACACATTTCAGCCACCTTGGACCTCTGGTTCATTCCAGCAGCGACTCACCCTCGTGATCACAGACAAGCCACCTGCAGGCAGCTTTGTGGGCCTCGGTGGGGCTGCAGGGTTGTGCCGGGGCAGTTGAGATACCTTTGTTTTTTGGTCCACGCACTAGAGCAGCAGCAAGAGGAAGCTGGCACTTTCTGAGCAGCCCGTTCTGTTAAGTTACAACTGCAGGGGCTGAAGGTGGCAGATGGCAGGTTGTCTGGCACGTGGGAGAGGTTTAGTGCATGTTGATGGAATACGGAATGAAGGAAGCCTGAATTGCATTCCTACTACTTAGTGGTGTGGTAGGGTCTATATTGGTTTTTGTGTCCTGAATTTTACTTCTTGACTCCTTCATTGGGCACTAGGAAGGACTCGATGTTCCTGTTCTATAGGGGGCTGTTTTCAGTGAAAGTACAGGGAGCTCCATCCCCTCTGGTAATAATACACTGAGTGATACAGTGAAAGCCATGACTTTCAAATCTCAAGATGGTTTGTGAGAAAGAACTCTTTTTTAAAAAAGATTTTATTTATCTTTAGAGGGAAAGGGAAGGAGAGAGGGAGAGAAATATCAATGTATGGTTGCCTCTCATGCATCCCCTGCTGGGAACTGGCCTGCAACCCAGGCATGTGCCCTGGCTGGGAATCAAACCACGATCCTTTGGTTTGCAGACCTGGTGCTCAATCCACTAAGCTACACAAGCCAGGGCCCAGAATTCTTTTTTGAAAAGAATAACCATTACCTCCCAGTCTATCAAATGTACAAGAACAGGATTTATGTCTGTTGGATCGAGTTCGGATCCTGGCACCAGAATCTTTCCTATAGTGAAGCTCCGTTGTGCTGTGTGGGTACCAGAGCGCTGGGCACATTGTTCTTCATCTGTCTGCGTGTGCAGATGCCGCCATCATCAGAACACACTTCCCTACTTTTCAAGTGACAGTGGGCTTATACCAATCAAACGCAATCAGGCAGAATCCCTTTGTGACCTGCAGTGTCTACTGCAAGAAGGTCCATCAAGAGACCATGACACAGAATGAAGCGAGCTTGATCCAATCAGCTGAACCAGTCGGTTCTGAACAATGAAGAGAATTACTGAGGTGGAAGGCCCTCTCGGTCATGATTCACCAAATGAAAACTGAGGGCTAAAGATTAGCATTTAATCTCCTGATTTTGGAGACCTTGCCAGGGACCTTACAAATATTCTGAGTTAGAAATAGCCATGTGTGGTGTAAGTTTTTGTTGTGAAATTTCTAGACTGCAGTTGTGGAAGATCATGTTTATTTTACCTACAGGGTGTGGAGATGCTTATGGAAATCCAGAAACAAATTAACAAAATAATCGAAATGGTATGTAAAGAGAATCTATGGTATCTGATGGCTGACACTTACATAACTTCTAGAACCCAAATTATACTTGGTTATAGAATTGAATCAATAGTATTACTGATGTGGAAAATGTGTTGATTTGCTTTGGGTTTCCCTATGAGCCAAGCTTAGACGTTCCTGCACTGGCTGTGGATCCAGCTTATAATGGTGCTCAACAATCTCATTTTGATTTCGGAGGCAGCTGGCTCTATGCAAAGGTCATCCCTTCGGATTCACAGAGAAAGAAAAGATTCGGACCCTAACGTGTGAGCGGCAGTTTGGTACAATGGGTGAGGCACAGACTCCTCTGTCTGCTTAGAATCCCATGTTGAGCAAACCAGTGCCCCTGGCCGAGTAGCCCTTAAGGGGAAGTCCCAGAGGCAGGACAAGGCAGCCGTACATGTTGCCAGCTGTCCCACGGTGTTCTGCCTGAGGCTGTGCACAGTGACGTAGCAGGGCTGAGACCAGGGGTGGGACCCAATCTCCCTCAATGTTACATCGTCCCAAATACCCCTCCACCCAGTTTCCCCCAGTGTTAACCTGATACATTACCATAGTATGTTTGTCAAAACCAAGAAACCAAAATGTACGTTACTATTAACTAAACTCTAGACCATATTCATATTTCACTGGTTTTCCCACTAATGCCCTCTCCCCGTTCTAGGACCTACGCAGAATCCCAAGGTTCGTACAGTGTGAGGCTTTTGGAAGTGCCAGCCTCGGCCCCTAGAATGGTGGGGCGGGCAGGCCACACAGTTGATCAGACTGGCTCCAAGCACCGCCTGGAGCCCATGACTGTGGCACTTTTCAAGAGGCCAACTTCTTTATTGGTGACCAGCCTGCAGAGACCTAGATTTGGACAAGTTAACCCTGACCTTGCACTCTGCTCTGCCCCTCATCAGCTGTGTGACCCTGGGCTAATCGCATAATCTCTCTGCCTTGGGGTCCTCGTGTGTAAAATGGGTACGACAAATACCTATCTCACAGGGAGATTGCGAGGAGTGAGCGAGCAGGTTGAATACAAGCAGTGTGCTCAGAGTAGGAGCCGGCACAGCGGTGAGCGGGACATAATGCTGGGCATCGTCAGAGCGGGTGGAGGAGACGCGGCTTTGATTATGAGGGAATTCAGGGTATTTGAGCTTTCTGCCATCATCCCAACTTTCAAAAATTTTATTGCTTTTTGATTACACAAGTAGCTCATGAATGTTCTTGTGAAAATTCAAATGCTGGTAGAGGTAGCCACCCCGCCACCAGGTCCCCGCTCCCTACCAGCTACCACCCTCAGTCCCCAAGTCCCTTTGCTAGAGGTGAGCACCTTAAAAATTCAGTGCATGGTCTTCCAGCCCTTTTTTTTTCTTTTTTATTTATACACCTAAACAGACAGATACACACACAAATATATGAGGGGGGACGCAAAAAAAAACCCAGGATTATCTTCCGGAGGGTGAGCCCCTTGTAGTACAGGCTTCACCCACTAGACAAGTGTTCTAGGAACCCATCTGTGTCAGTGTACCAACTGGTGTTGTTGTGAGAGGCTGCATTCTGCTTAAGTGAATTTTTTTGAAGATGCTTTCAATGCATTTGCCCATTTCATGATGGGTGATTTACGAGCACACTTGCCCACACTGCACTGAGTGTTCAGCAGTTTTTGACCAAAAAATGGTATGACTCTCATGCCCCAACCTCCCTAGTCACCTGATCTCCCCCCAAGCGACCTTTGTTTCCCTGGGTGAAAGAAGTCCTCTAAGTTAATCCTTCTGCTGATGTGACAGATGAGACCAAAAAATGGCAGAAGCACTTGAAATCAATGGGTTCAAAACTGTTCTGAGACAAAAAAAGGTCTCAATAGGTGTATTGCTTCAGATGGAGTCACCTTTGAAGGTGACTGAAGTTTAAACATGTGCGAATACACAATTTTTATAAATTCCAAGTTTTTTTAGTCCCCCCTCATATATAGTGTTTTTGTGTTTAAAGTAATATAAAAATTGGGCACAAATCACTGCAAATTGCTTTCTTGGCCCTTTCTATTGAAGGTTCATTTTTTACGGACATCTAGGAATTCTTTGTACTGTATAATAAAGGCTTCAGTTCTGTTACACGTACGTTCCTCTATCATGCTGCCTAACTCTTAACTGCATGTCATGGAGCCACGGGGGTTTTTTCCTTTGTAAATTTTGACAGAGTAAAATGCATTCGTGTGTTCTGGTAAGGCAGTGGTTCTCAGTGGGGAGTGACTTTGCTGGAGGGACATTTGACAACGCCTGGAGACATTTTGCGTTGTCCCAGCCTGCAGCGAGGGCTCTCCTGGCACCTTGGAAGCTGAGGCCAAGAATGCTGCTAAACATGGGCAGTGCACTAGGCAAGCCCCCAGAGCAAAGGGTCACCAGCCCGGAGGATCCCTAGGGCGGAGGCTGGAGACCCCTGCTGAAGGCTGTCGCTGTGGCTCTCGGCCTTCTCAGCCCGCACTTCCTTGGCTCGGGCCCTGCACATGCTTCTCTTTACCCAGAGAGTTCAGCACTCCCGTGTGTCCCCCAAGTACCAGCTTCTCAGAGTCCCCTTTCCTGACCCATGTACACTGATGTCTCCGTGGTCTGCACTCCCCTTCCCGCCTCATCTTCCCTGCTTGTGACCCGAGTCGCACCGTGGCTGCCCCCCTAGACCGCAGTTCCCTGATGCAGCGTGAGCCTTGTTCACTGTGGAATCCTCCCTGCCCAGCAGACAGAGGCACCCTGGTGTCATTTTGGGCTCGGGATAGGAAGCTCGCCTGACTCCACAGTGGAAAGGGCAGGATAACTGTATTGGCACATACCTGAGTGGGACCCATGCTGATTCCTGACAAACTTGACCCAGCGTATAGTCAGTGCTGGGCATAAAAGTGCATCCTTAACAGTCCCCGCAAACCGTGGGGACAGCTCTTTGGGAAATGTCTTTGCTTTTATTTCCAAGTGACTTTGCACTCACCAGATTCACCAAGTGTGAATCTGACCTTTGGCTGTTTCCAAAACTCAAATCCACCCCACTGGCGAAAGCGTTTGTACCCCGAGAATATCCGAGACAATGTGTTGAGTGAGCCTCTGAAATCAAATCTCACAGTCTTCTTGTCCCTTAAGGCCAAGGAGGGGACTCTGTGTGAGTGAAGAATACTTTATTTATGTGAGTAACAATGCGTGAACACGTATACACATACCCCATGTATGTGTGATTGAAGGCAGAAGATAAGGACAAACTAATGGGGTCAGGGGCCTGAATTTGAGAAAGGGCTCAGGGTTTATAAAAGTAGGGCCACAGGACTATACTTTCAGGGATCATTTCTATAGTCCGTTATAAAAGTAGGGCCCACTGGCATGATCCGTGCTTGCGTGCGTGCGTGCGTGTGTGTGTGTGTACACACGCCAGAGCAGTGGGTGGGCCCAAGGACCTGAGCTTTGCTTGCTGCTCACAGACGTGTATGAACGTTCCAAGTCTCTCTATCTTCTGTCCCACAGCCTCCTGCTCAAAAAGCAGAGCCGAAGAAAGGTCATAATGGAGGCAAACGAGGCCAAGTAAGTATATGTATTTGTTTACCATGCTTGTATATGACACAACTCATTTGTATATTCTCTGCCCCTTTGTCTCTCCTGTAGTCATTTTGTTCCAGGACCAGGGCTACCGCAAGTGGGGAATCTGCTCCAAGAGCACTAAACCAGGCAGCTCGAGCGCTGGAATAGCATTCAGCCCCTGCCTGTCTGCCAACAGGCTACCAGGCCATCTCTGCCTGTAGTTGTCTGGCCCACTGAAATCTCCGAGAGCTTGGAGAAGCATCAGGATTAAGCAATAAGATTGAGCAATAAGATTGCATTTGAAACCCTTTGGTAAAGTGTTGGGGAAGTTGAGTCTCCCTGCTAACTAGATGAAAGGCGCATAGGATGTTTTCAATTTTAATTTTACTCTGCCAAAGAGAGAAAGAAAAGGCACAAAAAGACAGCCACTCCTTACATCTGGTCCCCAAAGGCACTGACTCACCATTTCCAATGAAACGTTGCCGGGCCTCAGATTGTGCCAGGAGAGTCAGGCACACAGTTCTTGTGACAACTGGCCTCGCTGCCTGCAAGAGCCTTGGGAGACAAGCTGAACCTGATCAGTAGGTCATTCTGGTGATTGTGGGTGCTCTGAACACAAAAATTTCTCCAACTCTTCTGTTGTTGAATGGGGGGTCCCTCTCATTGACATTAAAAATATTGGATAGTTCTTATAATTAACTAGTGTTATCTCCAGTATAAAGGGGATATTTGTATCTAGGTTCACATTTGCTCTTGACACCAGCGCGCGTGCACACACACACACACACACACACAAACACGCACGCGCGCCCTCAGCATCACTGATGTTGCTTCAACTTGTCATAACTGCATAGTGGCAATTTATGGCAAAGGCACATGGAGGCTGACCTTGGAAGAGAAGCGTATACCTTTTCCTGGGGTCAGCTGAGTCCTCAAACCTTCCACTGAAATTCATCCTCAGTGATGCATCCTTTTAGCTGAAGGCTTCAATCCCTTTCAAAATAAAAACATCCTGAAGGAGGGTTGCCTTTTAAAGTTATAAGTGATATTCTGCTAAAGGAAAATGAAACGTAGGGAAGAGCAGGTTTGAGGAAAGAGGACAGAGTTAGGGACAGGCAGGACAAGCATTCCCAGGGGCAGCTTGGAGATGCACCAGCCCGGTGGTGGTGGCTCAGGTTAGCCCCACATACAGTGGGACAGCCAGTGAAGAGATAACATCAGCACACTGCAGACAGACAAGGGTGTCCTCCAGGCCAAGCTTGAAAACCTTGTCAAGTAAAAGAAAACAAGAAAATTGCTCCCAGATACTGCAGGGCAATCATATGCCAAAGGCCATGCAGGGCTAAGTGGCACCGGGATGCAGGATTAATGAAGAATCAGATGGAGGAACACATCCTTGGAGAGCTGTGTTTGGTTCTAAAATGCGCTGAACCCGGAACTCCAAGGACGGCAGTGTGCTGTGCTCACGCTCATCATCCCCCTTTGATCCTGCAGCAGCTGATCACAGGCAAGATGTCCCATCTCGGCTGCTTGACCATCACTTCTGACACCATAGAGCAGCCCCTGCTTTTACTACAGGGAGTCTGCGAGAACCTGGGGCTAAAAATGGGAAGGAACCTGCATCTGGCCATCAACTGTGCAGCACAGGACCTGATGGACTATGTGAGTCTCTGCTCCAGAACACCGACTCGTGTTGTCGAAATCCCATCATTTTTAAATTAGAACTCAAAAGAAGCGCGTGTCTGTATATTTTCCAAACAGATCCTATTTTCTTGTTAAGTTTTTGGGGGCATCAAAATATAAGTGGAATTTAGAAAGCCAAGTTAGTTAATGCCTAGAGAATAATACAACTATAGACACAATTTTAGAAACTTCGAGTGCTTACTTCTACACTCAATGCCTTTGAGGCTGGCCAGACTTTAAATAAAGGGGTTTGCACGAGAATTCTGTCAGGACAGTACTGTCACCGCGAGAACTCGCATGCATGCAACCTGAGAGAAGAGTGCCTTCCCATAAACCACTTTACCTCTCATATTGCTTGTTAGTACCTCAAAAGCCTCACCCTGCTTTCCAATGTTAGGATATTCACTGTAGAAGAAACAAGCTATATGTTCATTGTGAGTTGGAAGACGGTGGGTTCTAGCATGTAGGCAGGTTTGCATTGCTGTTGCTTGTTTTATGAACTTGTAGTATTGCCCATCCACTTAAGCAGCCAGGTGTCTGGCCTCGGGGAGAAATTATTCCTCCCCTACTCGGTACTTGACACTCTTGTGCAGAGAACTTTATCCGAAGTCGGTGGGAAGAGCTCTGTGGGGAAAAAGGGAATGGTGACCGAATTTCCCCAGGTCAACAAGTAGCAGATGTTAACGGTGAAATGCAGCCCTGGCTGGTATGGCACAGTGGATTGAGCACTGGGCAGCAATCAGAGAGTTGATGGTTCAATTCCCAGTCAGGGAGCATGCCTGGGTTGTGGGCCAGGCCCCAGTGGCGGGGGGCGTTGTGAGAGGCAACCACATATCGATGTTTCTTTCTCTCTCATTCTCCCTCCCTTCCCCTCTGTCTATAAATAAATCAAAATCTCTTTTTTAAAAAAGTAAAATGCGCCGATTTACCACGTCAATGTGGCCTGGAAACATTCTAGTCACAATCTTCTGTACAAAATGAATGAAAATGGTCTTGAATCGCATTTTTAACACTGAGGAGTTCCTTGTGTCCTCTAATATCTTCCTCACACTTCCCAGAACAGAGGGAGGTATGAAGTGGCGACGGGGACATACAAAAACGCCGCAGAGATGGTTGACCTGTATGTGGACCTGATCAGCAAGTTCCCTGCGATTATCGCCTTAATTGATCCCTTCAGGAAAGAGGTAACAGGATCTGCCTCGAATGTGATAATACAACACAGAATAAAACCTCATTCTCTTGGACCTGCCATTTGAAATGTGTTGTCATTTGGGCTGGGCCTGAGTTGCTTTATTTCAGCATTTGAGAAAAGGGTAAATGAATGTCAGAAACACAAGTACCTAGAATGTGCCTGTCCACAGCATGAAACAAGCTATTCCAAGCATTTCAGGAGTTACCTAGGTGTCTGTAAGCACCTTCACTGATGGAAGCCCAGCCCCTGTGCTAGCTGGTGCTTCAACAGGCTAATCACGGTAAAGTGCTTGTGGGGACAGGACCTCAGTGAGGCCAGAGGTTTTTCAACCAAAACCCAGTTACTGCATATGCAGGAAAGTAACAAAGCCATATTTTTTTAAAGTTTGAGGTTTTTTAAATCTAGTCAAACTAATGTCCAACAGGGGTTATTTGCCACAGAAGACCATTTCTCTTCCTAACCCACTTGAACAGCAAAACTTGTAATTCTCGATTTTATGAATTTGAGAACCATTGGATACACTGAAGAGATCCCTCCTCTGAGATAACAGTTTGAATTTTGGGGACAAAGAGAGTGCTGGGTCTGGTTGGGGACCCCAGGATCTCAGTCCGACTTTCCCCTCACAGCCCGGCTCCGTCCCAGCACTTTCGGGAGACACGGACTGAGCCCAGTCCTCCAACCTGGCCAGACACGCCTTCTAGCGCTGGCCCCGAGGCTCTGACCACAGCCCCCTCTGAGTGTGAGGAGTTGCACCTGTATGATCTGTTCTAACAAAGTCTTGGTTGCAATCTGCTCAATGGCTGGGAAGACTTTGAATGTTACTTTTCTTCACTAGGAAGCATTTCCTTTCATACAGGGGTCTCACCAATAAAAAATAAGGGTGTTGAGAATGACAGCCTAGAGCCCTTGGAGGCTTATTTCTTTTAGTTGTCTATTTATCACAAGTAACAGTAAAACCTTCTACCCAGCCAATCTTTAGCAGCATTACTGGGGAGGAAAGCCTGGGTTTGAAGAACTTCAGAGTCAATGCAGAGAACAGCATCTAATGCGTATAAACACTTTATTCACTAAATCTTTAACCTGAAATTCATTTTAAGCTTTGGTTCTGAGAAGCTTGTTAATTTGTGTGGCTGTGGCATAGGCATCATTCAGCTGCAGATGCAGAAGAAAACTGTTTTGTGTTATCTCAGAAAGGCGTGTAATTTTGATTATGTGCTATACGATTCGTGTCGTTCTGTGACATTATAATGATCAATTCTTACATGTTTGCCCAGGACGCTGAACAGTGGGACGCCCTCTATAATGCTGTCGGTTCCAGGTGTTACATAATTGCAGGAAGCGCCTCCAAAAGCATCTCTCAGCTTCTAGAGGAAGGGAACATCAGCACCCTCAGGTCCAGTGGGCTGATCATAAAACACACAAACCAAACTACAGTGTCGGACTTGGTGGAAATAACCAATCTCATCAACAGTGAGTAACAGCAGAGACCCGAAAGACTCACAATGAACTTGGTTATGCAAGAAGCCCACAATATGCAGTATGTCAGTTAATAAAAAGCGTAGAATAAACCTTGGAAGGAAAAAAAAAACCCCACCCCACCGCACCTGTGTGATTTGGTGCCGGCAGACAAAAGGCAGCTTATTCACTTCACGACATCATGACATCCACCCCAGTCCAGGCGGTCGGCTCTTTTCGTAGGGGCTGCCACCAAGGTGTGGCTAAGGCCACTGCCCTGTCACCCTCACACCACACAGCAGCAATCCCACTCGCCCACACTGCCTCTTTAATTCCTCAAAAGTTGCAAACTCGTTACCACCTTCAGGTCTTCCAATATACTGCTCCTTCAGCCTAGAACGCTTTGCCCTGTACTGTTTATTTGGCTAACTACTCCTGATCCTTCAGGTCTTCTTGTCTTAAATGAAATTTCTTCAGATATAGAGGGTGGGACAAAAATAGGTTTACAGTTGTGAGTGCATGAAACACAGAGTTTATTCTTGTTATTATTTCCATGCAAATAACTGTAAACCTACTTTTGTCGCACCTTGTCCATGCCTTTCCTGACTTCCTCTACCCCTGACCAGTTGGTTGCTCTGAACCTTTCTCATAGCAGTTTGTATTTTCTCTTTGCAGTACTGGCCACACTTGTGTAATTATTTACTGCCTGCTATCTCCTGCTAGGCTGTAAGCTTCCACGAGTTCATGGGAGCCTTGTTCACTTACGCACAGTGCAGAAACGTTAGTATCAGGAACTAGACAGAAGGCTAGTCTCAGACGTGAAGCGGGGCTCGGAGCTGGTGCCGGAGGGCAGAATGAACCCCGAGGCCCCCGGGCCTGTGGGCTGCCCCAGTTGGGGGCCCGGCACCCAGCAATCATTTTGTCCTTCACCTCAGGTCGGGGCTCTAGCTCCTGCCGCTCACACACACACTTGGGCACTCCAGGAAGAACTCTGGCTCACACTCTTTGTAGGCTCGTAAATCTCAGGAGGTTCTGCAATCCTCAAACGATTAAATATTTCCAATGCTGCTCCCCTAATAGGTAAACATTCAGAACAGCAGGTTCCCTTGAGCGAAATTCCACCCAATGAATTGTGAAGCCACTATTTAGGGACACCACCTTGCCTTGCTGTGCCCTCACTCTCCCCTTGCTCCTACGCAAAGGTGCGTTTTTCTACATTGATAGTGGAAGGAATTGAATTGTGTCTTACAGCTGTGGGTCCTAAAAATGCTCAATCTAATCTGAGCATTTTCCCCCTTGGATGGTAATAATGGTGAATCTTACAATTTATAGTATCTTAAATTTGGTGAAATGTGGCATTCATGTAGTATTCAGCACCTCTGCTCATGGAAAGGGCTAACCCAGGGTAATAAAAAGATAAAAACCAGGGTAATAAAAAATGCAAATGTTTGGTTAGAATTCTTAGCTGGTCAAATAATTGACTCCTCACGGGAAAGTTTTAAATCTCTGGAAATTTTTAATTTTGACTCAGAGCCTCATACATATGCTACTGGTTTCTGTACCACTGAAACCTGAAAAGAATCCCCCTGCTTGTAGGTACGAGGCATGTCACCGTGTTCGGAAGCACAGAAAGAGAGTGCCTTGATGACAGCATCGTCGATTTGGTAAGTGCTGAAGACTGGCCAACTGCAGAATTGCCAAAACACCACATTTATCACGAACTGGTATTTCAGAGAAATGCCATCTTTGGCAGAGAAAGTTATGCAACCTTTTATGAAATAGACTTGCTTCCTTCCAGACAGTTCTGTTTTTGCAAAGAGCTAAAAACACCAGACTTCTAAAAAAAAACAGAAAAATTGAAGTCCTGGGAAAAATGATGAGCGCCCCTTAAATGACTGGGGTGTGCACCTGCAACCTCACCTCCACAATTGAAGGGAGCAAGGCCAGAATGGTCGTAGATGAAATCAGCCTGCCTGCGTGGCTAGGGACGTGTTTGATGTAGATTCACTTTGCCTCTTTACCCTCTGACACCCTCAGCTTTAAGCAGGCCGCTTTACGCATGTAAAGACAAGACACCAAATTTAAGAGAAACACCAAAACAGCACGCAGTGACAGTTTCTTTTGGCACAATGTGACTCTTCCACTGATAAGTTGTTTTCCCCTCTCAAGGCTGTGGGACTGGGTGTCCGGTTTATCAAGTTGGGAGGTCTTTCTCGTGGCGAGCGGGTGACTAAGTACAACCGAATTTTCACTATAGAGGAGGAACTTGTCCGAAGCGGAACTCTGGGTATGTGCAGCTTGCTTGCTTGGCCTTGAATAAGAGAACAAAGATGGGAAGAGGGCAAATGGAAGGCCCTCAGCAGGAGGGCGGAGGGCTCTAAAGACTATTAATAAGTGCTGACAAATGATGGCATTTGCCACAATGCGTATTGTTTCCTTAATGGATTATCTGTTTACCTGAATGTTTAAAACTGTTGCTGTTCTTCTTGATAAACAGGCTGCGTGATGCTTTTCAATAGAATTAATTGATTGGAATCTCCAAGCCTACCTTTTGTTATGGCCCAAATTATAGCTCAAGTTTCTCTGCACAGCCAGTGGAAGTTAAAGGCAGATTTTTTTTCCTGCCGGTGCTTGGAAACATCTCCTTTTACTTAAGACAAGTAGGCAGCCCGTTCATGTGCATGCTGTACTTTGGGAAGGCGATGGCCAACCGCTTCTGACCTCAAACCTCTAAGTCTGCCTGGGTCAAGCTGCCTTGTGTACGAGCTGGCTGGAGAAAATACCCCGGACACACCATTTTACTTTTTCTGTTACTGATGGGGATGGCCAAAAGTAGGTGTGGAGCATACAGGAACATTAAAGCAATTGTTATTGTTCCTGTAATTCTAAAATGATTTTGTACTTTAATTTTTTTTAAAGATTTATTTTTAGAGAGAGGGGAAGAGAGGGACAAAGAGAGGGAGAGAAAAATCATTGTGTGAGGGAAAAACAGTTGCCTCTGGCACGCCCCCAACAGGGGACGTGGACAGCAACCCAGGCATGAGCCCTGACTGGGAATTGAACCGGCGACCTTTTGATTTGCAGGCCGGCACTCAATCCGTTCAGCCACACCAGCCAGGGCCTATTTTGTATTTTAAGATAGAACAGACGATTTTGTATACTGAAAAACAGGGTATGTTATTTAAGTAGTGCTGATAATTAAAACATGGAATTTCCCTGGATGCTAAAATCCATTAAATGAGATGGATGTATTACGGATGTAAGGCGCAGAAATGAAAGTAAGGGAGCAGTCCTACTGTACAACTCAACACGTGCATTAAAGAGGAAAAAATGAAACCAGGAGAAACTGCACCTAAAAATTGTTATATTTAACACATGCAATGATCTTGAAACACCCCAACTTTCTAAGCCACATGAGTCACGTAACGGTAGTCAAAAGTGACTGCATTGTTTGGTGTGTGGCGCAAGGCTTGTTTTTTCAAACAGGCACAATTATATTCTTCCTACACATCGCCCGGTGATTTTTTTCATGCCACACCGACTTGTGGAAGCCTCAGGTCCCTTGAATGACTCCCCACATTTCCAGCCAGACTTATCGAAAGGGGAACAGCAGCTTAAGGGCAGCAGAAAGGACTCCAGTGGCCAGAGAGCAGCCCCTCCCCGGTGACCGGGCAGGCCCCTGAGCATCCGGGAGGGATGAATGGATGGACGAGAACTTCTCTGACACAGGCAGGGGTCAATAAATGTTAAGGGGACTCAAAACTGAAAAAATAAATCTCTCCACTGAGAGACTGAGTAGAAATCTTGGCAGAAGCTGAGCTAATAAAACACTGTCACTGCTACAGGGACCTAACTGGGACAGTCTAAGCCAGCCGTCATTTACCTGGGCAGAGTTAGTAGAAAACGGTTTATATCACACAGAGTGCTGGCCGTTCCTCTAATTCCCCTTCTTCTTCTTGGCCTTTTCGGTTAAATCACTGCCCAAAGTCCACTGCACCCCAAACGCTCCAGAAGGCTGCATAAGGGCGCAATACAAACTGAAAACAAGTATTGCACATGGATGTGTAAACAAAACAGGCCCAGTTTTAAACGGTTCTAGAATCCTTTCTCGTGGTGAAATGACACCTCCAGACTGTTCTGAGGATGACCTTCTTTACATCAAGTAACATCAAACTGTTGTTGTTTTGGGTAGGTTTCAACGAAGAACTCATTTTTTCTCACCAGAACAAGGAAGACTAGAGGCCGCCAAGGCTGGCGGGCTGCCCGAGCGCATCTTCCCCACGGAGGCTGCACAGGACTCGGCCACGGCCACACCGTAGTGCCTGCGGCACCTGGCTGTGCGCGCCCTGCTTTGCAGCCCCATCGTTAGACTTGTCTGAAGCACGTTCCCTTCTCCCTGGTTGTGCTCTAAATGTTGCTAACTTGTGTGTGTTTTTTCTTTCACTGTTGGGTAAAATACACAGATAGTATTTCTGCCAGAAATTGCCCCTGTGGACTCTGTCTTAATAGCCATCGCCTTTCCATGGAGGTTGTGTTTGCATGCCAGCTCTGCTGCCCCCAAACGGGGCCGGGGGCAGGGGGTTACCTAGGAACAGAGTCCAGTGCTTTTGTCGCTAACCCCACACTCAGTTCAAACACCTCGCACTTGACAAACGAAGACATCTCTGAAGACAAAACTCTCCACACGAGGAGCTCTCCGTGCTTGGGATGGGTGCACATCTGTGTGTATCTTACACCCCCGAACTAGAAAGCACAGGTGGTTTCGTGGCCAACCTCATGCAGGCGTAAGCGCGCCTCACTGTTCTTTGCACAGCCAGGCAACTCCCCCGTGCTCCCTGCCCTGAGTGCCCTTCGCCCCGATGCCCTCCTCTTTCTCACTTTTTGTTTTTCTTGTTATTTGTATCCTTGTGGTTCTCCTTCAGTCCTTTTTGGAACAGGAGTCAATGTAAGTGAATAAACACCTGCATGGACAGACAAGTATTCTTAAAGGAACTAAATGCTCCATTATTTCTATCATAGTACCTATCACCGTACCTAACAGGTGATTGACGGCCATGCGACACACAGGCTGACGCAACTGCCCCTTCCGTAAGGGGACCGAGGCCACAGCAGGGGAGGAACAGGGATGAACACAGCCCCACACCTACAGATGACGTAATGCCTAGCTGCTCTGTATGTTCAGATTCCCTGCTAAAACCAAGTGCTCATTTGCTTTTCCCAAAACTTATACAAATTGCTGTCTAGTGACTATGGGAGAGTTGGAGAGTTGGCTCGGTTTAGAGTGTTGATATATTCTCCACGTTTTTACCCAACACACGGAGGACCTCTCCTTTTGAAGAGTCCTAACAGGGAAATGTAACGGTCTTATGGTACAGCGAGGCCTTAACCTCAGAGCAGTGACTTAAAGCCAGCTCAGGGGCCAAGTCCCTCAGGGCCCGGGGCAGGGAGCCCTGGGTCTCACTCCCTGCTGGGAAAGCGCTGTTGTTTGTGGTCGCAGCTGCCTCTCCTGCGCTCAGAGCATCTGGAAGGAAAATCCATTTTAAAGGCAGGAGAGGCAGACTGGCTGCTCACACAGCCTTTGCAGGTATACGTGTGTGCACACACACACGGGAGGTCCTAGGAGAGTACCCCCTGGAACTGGGGCACAAATTACAATGAACTGAATGAAACCAGAGGGAAAAAATGAGCAACTAAGTAAGGAGCAACGTTAAATTAACGGAGGAGGTAATTCACGACCTCAGCAAGATCAGCACTTTCATTTCAACACAGAGCACAGCCTACTCGCCTGTACCTCACTCGAGGAGTGGGGTCACCAGTGAGCAGGTAGCATTTTAATTTAAAAATTTTTAAGTGATAAAAAGTACTGTTCCTGTTTTCTCTGTTACATAATACATGATGGACATAGAACATACACATCATATGTAAGATATGAGCTATGAACGAGATGAGAAAAACTAGCGATACCCTGTTTTCAGAGACGACAGCCCTTGACTGAGGATGGCCAGGTGATCCTCCAAGGTCAGTGCTGATGACGGACAGGCACCCACTCTCTTGCTCACGACTTATTCCATGTAAGTGAGAGTCGCTCCAGGATAAAAGTGATGGGACATGTCAAATGTGCAGTGCACTCAGAAAAATGATCCAAACTGTTTTTTCAAGATTTTGCTACCTGGAATACCAACCTAAAAATGTTCTGGAAAGATAACTAACAACGAGTCCTACCTGTACCACTCCATTTCCAACGCCTCGCTGGTAACTAAAAGTGGGGAAGGAAGGAGGACTTACTGGTGAGCAGCCAGAAATGGAACACCCGTCCTTTTACCCAGCCCAAACAGGCGGGGCAGTTAGAGCCTGGGGACCCCTGCCGACCCCCGTCTCCACAGGACTGCTGACGCCGGGTGAGGGTGGGAGACCAGCTCAGACGTGGAAGTGCCAGAGTTTTCAATAAATTCGTGTTCTTTCAGTAGAAGGGAGGCATTATCTTTTTCTTTAACAGCAAGAACACAAATCTCCTTCCCCTCACTCTGGCTATAAAAACACATCAACGTGAGTGACGTGACTCTGCAGCAGATGTGACATAATTCATATTTCTAAAACAGAAGGCAGAATAAACAATTTTTAAAGAGAGAACAAGACTATAAAGATGGCAGTCCCTTCCAACTTGAAAATAGTGTAAGTAGAGGGTCTACAATTTTACACCAAGGGCTAAGAACGCACCTGGGAGATACAAGCACTGGTCTCCCCAGGCCTCCAGGTCCCAGCCTGCTTGTTGACTACGGCACCCCAGCAAGGGCAAAACTGCCCAAAAACTGATGTGAAAGAGGGGGAAACTGTAGGCAGAAAAAGGCAAGTGAAATCCTACATCAGACACCCTGGTAGCAGATTAGTTTTCAATGACGCGGTCACGGCAGAAGAAAGCACGCCACTCAGAGAAGAACACCGGCTGCGCGTCACTAACCCGGCCCGGCTTCGCTAACACCCGTCCCCGCGTGGCTCACTGCTCAGCCTGGAAACGTTGGTGCTCTTTCAACAGCACTAGTCTGTTCAGTGCGTGATGAAACGGAGTAAGAGCACACATCCTGTATCCCTAAAGGTGCGCGATGCATCTCAGTGGACTGAGGACGGACACCGGAAGGGGGAGGGCACAAAGAAACGGAGTAAAATTCCTCAAAATAAACCATTTTGTGGATGATTAAAAACCACTAAAGTTGGGTCATCAAGGAACATGTGAAGGACACACAGACAAAGCCAAAGGGAATAGGATCGAGGGTGGAGGGTGGGAGGTGGGGGTGGGTGCGGGGAGAGGCAGGGGTGAGGGGGAAACGGAGACAACTGTACTCGAACAACAATAAACAAAGTTGCTCAAGTTATCGACGCTCACATAATTTTTTTTAAAAGGAATGCTGAATTTGGGGGCCTAAACCAAAAATGTCAATAACCACAAGTGGCCTTTCATGAGCTACTGTTAGTGTTTTTGTTTTTTTTTAATAAGTGTGGTGAGGAGAGTTCAAATCACAGCATAACAAAAACTTGTTTAAGTGAATTAATGCAGTTGGTAGGTAGAGTATCATACAGCAGTATTATTCAGTTAGGGAAAGTTACAGTTGAAAACATTACATTTTAATTTCCCAGGAGTAAACTGGCAGCTGTCAAACCGTCATGGGGAGAACATGGAAACAGTCAAGCATAACGAACCTACAAAAAGATAATTATCTCCAAATTTAGGAAGTACATTCACCTGCCTACCCACCTCTTTAAGCCTATGCTTAGCACACGTGCAAAAATAAGTACAATACAACTACTGCAATTATTACTATCATTTTCTTTTGCCCTTCGCCAAGAAACACCTGACAGCTACATGCTGAGCTCTGCTAACAAAACTAAACCTTTCACTTTCTTTAATAGTAAAATTACCATTACTGAATCACTGTCATAAAAAAATGCATTCAAGCACATTACCACTTATTTTAAATAAACGTCAATTTTGAAACAATCGACTTTGCAATGCTGCGTAAGTTGTTTTTTTCTTAAATCCCTGATTACATTTCTATTTATTCACTGTGGTAGACTAAAACATTGTACTTTTGGAGACTAACTACCACTTAATTTCTTACCAAAAACAAAACAAAACAAAACCTAACAACAAACCCGTGTCATGTAGAACAGCTGTGAAGAGAGAAAATAAGCCCTGTGAGAAAATACGGTGCTCACGCCACATTAGTACATGAGGAAACACTGAACTAACTGGACACACAGTGCAATGCACTCTCCTGGAATCAAGCACTGGACTGTCACCTCGGTGCTGCGTTCAGGCCAGCAGAGCACGCCCACCAGAGCCCCCCGGAGGCTCTGGACCAGTCAGCAGCAGGTAGTTTTCATCCCACAGGTAAGAACATGTGCACCGACTATGGGACTACTGGTTTGAGGCCAGCCTCTGAATTTTAAGTTTATCTCGGTATATCCTAGACAGTAATGTGTCTGCCACAGCGCTTTGCAATGCCCATGCTAATGCAGTTTCTCCATCAAGAGGATCAGATCCAAAAAAAAAAAAAAAAAAAGCTTATTTGGGGGCTTTTAAGATCATCTTAAGATATTCATCCTGTTTATCCAATTATCCACAGCACTGCAAACTTTCAGCATTACATTTCAATAGTGGTATGCACATTAACTAAAAAAATAGTAACATCTGAAGTGTCTGTAACCTTCTAAAAAAAAGTCACACTTAATACAGTAATTAGAAAAAAACCTTATCCCTAGAAATATTTCAGAAAACTACATAGCATGTGCAATTCGCTAAACAGCTTACTTATTTGTATAGGTGAACTACTTATAAAAGTGACGTCAGGAAAGAACCTCTATTCTGAATACAGAGATAAGAACAGAAAGTCTTGAGCCCTCGCCAGTACACAGAAGCCACTCCGGTGCGTACTGGAGAGGGCTTCACAATGTGCCAGCCTCCTGGGTTACGGGTCAGCAGTTGGAGCTGTCTGCGTCTCTTAGTTTTCCAGCGCTGTCTTCTTTGTGTTCTGGTTTTGTTTCGCCTTCATCATCCTCACGCTGAGTTGGATCTTGTGCAGCAACCTGGTCTTTGGTTTGGGGTTCACATGTAGAAACAGGATCTAAAACTACAACCGGTTTAGCTTGTTTCTCACTGTCGACGTGCTGTCTCCTCCATCCAGTGCTACTGGGAGGCCTAGGGGATGAGCAGTTAAAAAAAAAATTAAAAGCAGAGAGAGAAAACACTTCTTTCGTGTTCCTGAATTCAGACGAACAAAAAACCCAGAACGTTCTCAGT